GCTGGTTTGGCTCAGTGGATAGAGCCTCGGCCTGCGGACTGAAGGGTCCTGGGTTGATTCCGGTCAAGGGCACATGCCCAGGTTACGGGCTTGATCCCCAGTAGGGGGCGTGCAGGAGGCAGCCGATCAATGATTCTCTCTCATCATGGATGTTTCTAGCTCTCCCTCTCTCTTCCTAGCTGAAATCAATAAAAATATATATAAAAGAATAAAAATATAAATAAAAAATATATAAAAAATATATAAATATAAATATAAAAAATAAAAATAAAAAATATATAAAATATAAATAAAAATATATATAAAAATAAAAATATATTTTTTTATTGATTTCAGAGAGGAAGGGAGAGGGAGAGAGAGCTAGAAACAGCCATGATAAGAGAGAATCATTGATCGGCTGCCTCCTGAACGCCCTCTACTGGGGATCAAGCCCACAACTTGGGCATGTGCCCTCCTGACCAGGAATTGAACCGGGACCCTTCAGTCCACAGGCCAACGCTCTATCGCTCTATTGACTGAACCAAACCAGCCAGGGCCTTCCCAGTTCTTCGTATGATGAATGATTTTCAATGGAAACATGGGCATTTTTTAATGCTAAAATTGTGTTTATTTTAAACCAAAAGGGTCTGATACTCATTCCTGTTACAACATTTTCAGAGAAAAAGGGAAAACATAGGAGGCAGGAGAGGGGATGGGTTGCCAGCATGCGCCTTCTAAGCAGGTCCCTGCAGTGGCCCGCAGGAGCCCTGGGCCCAGGGCGCCCTAGGACTCGCCAACACTTTCTCATTTCATCTGTCATCCAACTATCACTTCTGGTCAGTGCGTGTTTCGTACTAAAATTAAGGAAAGCCTCATAAGACCAGTCCGCAGCAAGTCCCTGCGAGGCAAGCTCGGCTTTCAGCTGTGCGGGAGGCGGAGCTCACGCTTGAACACATCCACCCAGACCTGGGGGTGGCCCCAAGGCAACAGGTACAGCACGTGGCCCTGGCCGTCCCCACGCACTGGAGCCCCCTCCACCCCCCACCTTCCCCTGCCCCAGCCCTCAGGCACGTGGCTGCAGGGGCGGGGCTTCGATCGGAGGCGAGAGGCTGCGGAGCGAGCGGTGCGCGGCCTCCCGGGCAGCAGAGCTGACAGCCCCCTAGCCGGGCGCCCCCTCCTCCCGTCCCCACTGCACAGGGCTCGTCACCGGGCTGGGCAGATGCCACGAGGCATCCCGGGCTCCTTCCGCATCGCCTCCCTCCCCCGGGCCAGCCTCCCCATCTCGGCAGCTTGCTCAGCAGGTGCCGGTCCGGCTGGTTCCTCTCCAGCACTGCTGCAGCCGCGGGTCTCCTGTTGGACCGTCTCGCTGCTTTCGCAGCCGCGCATGCGCAGGAAAGACCCCCGGTCCTGACACGTGGAAGGACTTCCCCGACTGTCATTCTTACTCCAGCGCGTGCTGTGTGCTTGGCGCACGCCAAACATGGACATTTCTGTCTTATTTTATGAGACTCTGGGTCTTATTTAACCCTCCTCGTTTAGCCGGTTTTCTATGACAGGGCTCTGGGGGGTGGAGGGGGGGGTGCTGTCTTTTCACTGCCAGATGGAGGTAGCCCTTCAAAGCCCAGCTCAGCCCCTGTTGACATTGGATGGAGGTGAGGGCCTCCTCACTGCAGCGCGGGGCGGGGGGGGGGGGGGGGGGGGGCAGTTCCCACAGGTCTGCACTGCCACCTGGGAGGATATAATGAGCGGAGGCCTCCTCTGCCGCAGCCCAGCAGGGAGGCTGAGGGCTGTCTCCCCACTGCCAATCCGGGACTGAAGTCCCTGCACCCACGTGGCCTTACTGACCCTGCGGTGTGGGAGGCCTCATTTCCAGCTGGTGGGGGAGGGGGAGTAGGGGGTGAAAGTTCCCCCTCCCTACTTGACCTTCTCGGAAACCACCCTGGTGAGCTGGGGCGCCTCATTATATCCTGGGAAGAGTGGAAGTCTAGGCTCAGCACTGGTGTGGTTGGGTGTGGGTGTGGCCACAGTTCTTCTGTGGTATTTGGCTGGAATAGAGCCGTTATTTTCCAAGTTTTCTCTCTTGTTAGGCTGCCCTTTCCTGGTCCGTTGGCTAGAGAGAGCAGGTTTTTGTTGTGGGCTGTTTTATTTTGTTTGCTTTTTTGTTTTGTCTGCGCCTTGGTGTCCAGCCTGCTGACTTCACTTTCGAGATGGATGAGCGAAGCAAAAAGAAAACTCAGGAAACTCACCGCCATCCTGCTGTTCCTTGGGTTTCGAGGTCCCTTGCCTTTCTGCCTTCTTCTCTCCACCTTTTATCTTCTTATGAGCCATGCCGGCCAGGCAATAAATAGAGGCTTTTAAGAAAAAGAAAAGAAAGGTTGATAATGTTCTCTGCTGGGGAGGGTATGAGGACACGGGCACTCTCACACTCTGTTGGTGTGACGGCTTTTTTGGAGAACAATTTGGCAAAAGGCATCAACGGTTAAAAGAAAATGCATGAACTCTGCCCCAGCAATTTCACTGCTAGGAATTAACCCTATGGATACATTTGCAAAAGTATGCCAAAGATAAATGCATAAACATGTTCACATAGTTTGTCATTGCAAAACCCCAAATGGTTAGCACTTAAATGTCTATCCATTGGGAACTGGATAAAGTATCTATGGCACATTCATGCCGTGGAACGCTGTGCAGCAGTTTAAAAGAACAAGGATGACTTGTATGTACTGATATGGGCCAATCTCAACAAAAGTTGCAGAATAGTAAGCATAGTCTGATGCCATATAAATAAAAGCCCAGCAACCGAACAGTGGAATGACCAGAATGACCAGTCGACCAGTCGCTATGACGTGCACTGATCACCAGGGGACAGATGCTCAATGCAGGAGCTGCCCCCTGGTGGTCAGTGTACTCCCACAGCGGGAGCAGCCACTCAGATGACAGAGATGAGCAATGTTTTCACAGCAGGCTGATCCCCACAGGCCATGCCCCCCACCAGTGCACGAATCTGTGCACCAGGCCTTTAGTATTTATATATATACTTACATGTGCTGGACTTTAGGAAGGTTTACAGCTAACCACGCTGCCAAGCTTTGGGTTTTCGCTATGTCCTTCTGCACTCTTCAGTTCTAGTGATGGGCATGCATTACCTTTTTTATCAGAAGGGTTTTTCTGGGCAATCAATTGACGTGTGTTACGAGGCATTTTTTTTCTTTATACTAGTTTATTTCTTCTTTTTTAGTTTTCTTTGTTTTTCTTTTCAAATATATTTTTATTGATTTCAGAGAGGAAGGGAGAGGGAGAGAGAGATTGAAACATCAATGATGAGAGAGAATCACTCATCAGCCTCCTGCATGCCCCTCACTGGGGATCGAGCAACTGTGCTCTGACTGGGAATGAAATGGTGATCTCCTGGTTCACAGGCCGATGCTCAACCACTGAGCAACACCGGCTGGCGTAGTTTTGTTTGTTTGGTTTTTTTTTTTAATCCCTATATCTTTAAGTCAAGAAAAGGAAGATTTACTGGAAGGATGCTGATGTTCCTCATTCGAGCAGCCTGCAGGAGGAGACAAATGCAGATGGGCCCCTGGAATTTCTGGGGCCCGGGCCTGGGATATTGGAGGCCTTTTTTTTTTTTTTTTTTTTTTGGTCTCTGTGTACCGGCTGCATTCTCTCTCAGTCATATAAAGGATGGGGAATGAACATGGCTGCCTTGTGTATCTAAATTTATATCTTGCCCTGGCCGGTTGCTCAGTGGTTAGGGCCTTGACGGGGGAATCAAAGGGTCATGGGTTCAATTCCTGGACACATACCTCGGTTGCTGGTTTGATCCCCAGCCCAGTTTGGCCTTGTGCAGGAGGCAACCAATTGTATTTCTCTCACATCTCTCTCTCTCTCTCTCTTCTCTCCCCTCTTCCCCTCCCTCCCTTTCACTCTCTCTAAAAATAAATGGGAAAATAACCTTGGTGAGGATTAATAACAACAAAAATGTGAAATTTATCTCTTGCCCTCCTACAGCAGAGAGAGACGGACTTCCTGCTTAACAATATTCTCAGGGAAGGGCTTTCTGTGGCCAGGTGTTCTGGATCCATCAACTCTGGCCAGAGGTGAGAAGCCTCTAAGTCAGTGGTTCTCAACCTTGGCTGCACATTAGAATCACCTGGGAATCTTTTTAAAATCCTGATTTCTGGGCCTCATCCTCCGGAAATTATTTCTTTGTTACTAATGTTGTGGCCCCGCCCCATAACAAAGAAACAGAATTTCCGGAGGATGAGGCCCAGAAATCAGGATGTTAAAAAGATTCCCAGGCCGAAACCGGTTTGGCTCAGTGGATAGAGCGTCGGCCTGCGGACTGAAAGGTCCCGGGTTCGGTTCCGGTCAAGGGCATGTACCTGGGTTGCGGGCACTTCCCCATTGGGGGATGTGCAGGAGGCAGCTGATCGATGCTTCTCTCTCATCGATGTTTCTCTCTCATCGATGTTTCTAACTCTCTATCTCTCTCTCTTCCTCTCTGTAAAAAATCAATAAAATATATTTTAAAAAAAAGAAGATTCCCAGGTGATTCTAATGTGCAGCCAAGGTTGAGAACCACTGCTCTAAGCGCTTGGCAGAGCCTCGGGAGTCACATGGCTGGAGAAGAACAGTTCTCAATAGATGGGAGGATGCTGGGAAGGTAAGGCGCTCATTTGTATTTATTTATTTTTTTTAAGTCCTCACCTGAGGATATTTACCACTGATTTTTAGAGAGAGGGAAAGACAGAGAGAAACATCGATGTGAGAGAAACATACATTGATTGGTTGCCTCCTGCAGGAGCCGGGGAGGGGCCTGCAACTGAGGTATATGCCCTTGACCAGAATCAAACCCGGAACCCTTCAGTCCGCAGGCCGATGCTCTATCTACTAAGCCAAACCAGCTAGGGAAGGCACTCATTTTTTTTTAATATTAAATTTATTGGGGTGATATTGGTTAATAAGGTTACATAGGTTTTAAGTTTACATTTCTATGATACATTGTGTGCCCACAACCCAAGGTCAAATCATCTTCCATCACCATATATTTGAAGGCACTCATTCTTTCACTCATTCAGTAAATTTTTATTGCATGCCTACTATGTGCTGGGCTCTGTGCTACTGAACACAGTAAACTAGCAAGGTCTCAGTGACTGGACAGCTTAGGTTCCAGTGAGGAAGACAGCCTAGAAATCAGTGTCTGCTGTCCCTGTCCTAGCTCAGCCAATCCACTCTCTCAATTGACAAAAGGGTCTCTTTTGTTGTGTCAGAGGGGGCCGCTTGGTCAGAGCAGCTTGGGGATATTTCCACTGTGAGGACACTGATGACTAAGAAAGAGACGCTTGGCCTGGCCAATGGGGACAGCTGCAGCTGTTGTGAGTTACCAGCCAAGAGCCAGTAGGTGAAGGGAGTGGCTTCCTGTTGAGCTGAGATCTTTGAGTCTAGCTTGGAAGTTAAGGCGTCCCAGAAACAAAATTGTCAGGGAGCCCACTAAGGATCTGTGGAATTTTTATTATAAAAATACTAAACCCAGCTCTGAGGTCGGTGCCCGACTCCACCAACTTGAAAGAAAGTCTCAGTTCCTCAGACAATTGTGATCCTGAGCAAACAGCAAAAAGAAAAGAAAAGGAAAATAAAAAAGATGGCTCAGCTCTGTGCCAGCACTAGTGGGATGGACTGCGGCCAGGAGCCAGAGCGGAGAGGAGGAGGAGGAGGAAGGGATGAGGGGTGAGCGGCCCTCCTGGCGACTACATAAGGGAAGGTTTCTTTTAAAGAGATTTTATATATATAATTGATTTCAGAGAGGAAGGAAAAGGGAGAGATATAAACATCAATGATGAGAGAGAATTGATTGGCTGCCTCCTGCATGCCCCCAACTGGGGATCGAGCCTGCAACCCAGGCATGTGCCCTTGACCAGAATCGAAACGCAGCCCCTTCCGTGCACAGGCCGACGCTCTAGCCACTGAGCCAAACCGGTGAGAGCTGTAGAGGAAGGTTTCTGATGTGCAGATTTTGCAAGAGATGTTGGTGGGATGCACTGGTCTGAGCAAGACCTTCACCCACAAGTTACAGTCCCAGCCAGGGGTCCTGCAGCGAGGTGCTCTGTGGCGAAAGTGATACATGCTGGGCTGTGACCCAAGCAGCAACTCAGGGCTTGGGCAGCAAGAAATGAGGATTTCCACGCACTCTCCCTCCACCCCAAACTACTCTCCCACATGCAGGCTGCTGGTCCAGATGTGGCTTTACCTCACTATTGTAGGTTTTTAAAAATACATATAGTTTCATTGATTTCAGAAAGGAAGGGAGAAGATAGAAATATCAATGATGAGAGTCATTGATCAGCTGCCTCCTGCATGCCCCACACTGGGGACCTAGCCTGCACCCGGGCATGTGCCCTGACCTGGAAGCTAACCATGACCTCCTGGTTCATAGGTCGACACTCAACCACTGAGCCAGACCGGCCAAGCGGCTCCTGTTTTTTTTACCCTTTTGACAGTTCTGGTGACACTGTCTGCTCATAAGCCTTCCTCTGCTCCTTGAGGCCATGTCTTGCTCATCTTTATAACAACAGCATCTGGCCCTGTTCAGGGAGTGTTGCAGGTGCCACTAATGTTTGAATAAATATCTGTTTATCACAACTATTTGCCCAGTCCCTAATCTAGAGGCTCTGGAATAAGCAGCATCACAGATTTTAGAATCAGTCTACGTATCACATGCAGAAAGGTGAGATGGGCCAAGAAGATTCTTTCTGGGGTCTGAAGTGGAAAACGTGGAATGATAAGGCAGCAGAGGAAGCAAAGCAGCTTCAAAGATGTGTGGGAAATGGATAAACTGTGTGGCCCCTCTGATCTTTAGTGTCCGTGCTTGTAACATGGGGACCTCACAGGTAGAGGAAGGAGACCCCAAAAATGGCCATGAAAGTATTTTGTGAAGTGTAAAATGAACACAGGTAAAATGATTAATAAAGCTTATTGATAAGTCTCATGCAGTAGTGCCAATCTATTTCTGTGATCTTACACCTGATCTTAAGGTCCTCTTTTATACATTCAGCACAATGGTAACTGCATTGCTGGATTGGCTTGAGGAGGCAATGCGTAAGGCATAAAAAGTGCTTCTTATATGGATAGCTTCTTTTAAAAAATGTTTTTATTGATTTTAGAGATCATCACTGTTTCACCAGCCATGAGAGGATCAGCTCTGTTACTAGGAAGCTAGCTGATTTTAAAGGGAGAGAGAAAGAGAGAGAGATGGATTGGCTGCCTCCCATATGCACCCCACTGGGATGAAACCTGAAACCTGGGGATGCGCCCTGACTGGAATTGAACCTGTGACCTTTCAGTGCATGGGAGATGCTCAACTGAGCCACACAGGCCAGAGCTGGATAGCTTCTTAAAAAACAGACTCCTGGCATCCCATCTCTGCCATCTTCCTAATTGGGATTCTTTGGGGATGGAGACTAAACATCTGAATTTTAAATAAGCGTCCTCGGTGATTGATTAGGGTGGTCCAGGGAGACTTTAAGAAACACTGAAAGGATTAAGTTGTGTGTGTGTGTCAGGGGTGGGAAGACAAGTACTATCATATGTGGCCATGAGATGGCAGCAGAGAGAGGCAAGGTGAGGGGCTGGGAGTGGGCAGACTTGGGGATGGGTTGTGGGAGGAGCTGGGCCCTATAGTTCAGCACGGTCATCTTTGCCAGCTGAAGTCTATTACTGCAGACTACTCCCCTGTGACCGCCTGTCTGATTACCAGGTCTTTACAGACGCTTTGCTTTTGCCAAACTCTGCCAGCAGAAACCGCACCAGTGTGACCTTGGTTGGCTGAGGGGTTAGTAATGTGTGTTCCACATGGTGAGTATGGGAGGCAAGGGCTGTCACCTGCACAAGGCAGCTTAGTGAAAGGGCATCAGTGCATGTTGAAGCAGGGTTTCCCCATCCCCCTGCTGCCAGGCTTGTGGTTCCAGGTGCTCTGAAAGGGTTCACCTGAACCCAGCCTGCTCCAGTCACGAGAGGATGAGCTCTGTTGCTGGGAAGCTGGCTGAAGGCCAAGCAAAGGATGCTGGGATGGGGTGGTGGCAGGGAACATGGGACGAGGCAGCTGTCTCTGGAAGCAGACAAGCTGTCCCTGGCTTCAGCAGGGGTGGGGCGGTAAGAGGATTAGGTGACAGTCCCCTAACTCAGCCCGGAACTAACACCCCGCCCCCCCCTCACTCATGAGCCTTGGCCTGCCCCGCTCCGAGCCTGCCAACGTTCAGAATAACCCTGAGGACCAGACAGCAGGATGGCAGGGGCTCTGCTCAGCGCCCTATTCCTCTTGCAGCTTCTTGGTATGGACAGGGGTCGGGGGAGGTGGCTGGACACACACACACACACACACACACACACACACACACACACACACACCGAGATATGAACATAAACAAGATAGAGACCACGATGTAGACTGGGTTGCAATATTTGGTCCCCAGGCACAACATTGGTTCCGAAGACACTCATGGAAAAGTACATCGTCTCAGAGGCAGACACACAGGGAAGCAGGGCCCCGCACAGACTCGGAGGGGGCAGAAGGGAGAGGCCCCCTAGCCTCTTCATCTCGGTGTCTCTGCTGCTTGTCACCATCCCCAGGCCGAGGTGAGGGGAATGAGGAGTTGCGCCTTTATCACCATCTTTTCGACAATTATGACCCACAATGCAGGCCAGTGAGGGAGCCTGAGGACACTGTCAGCATCAACATCAAGGTCACCCTGACCAACCTCATCTCGCTGGTAAGACCCCACCCTCCACTCCCAGCACCATCTCTGAGCTTGAAATCCCACTTTTGGCCCCAACCACTGAGCGCTGTCCTAACGCTCACCTGTGGCCCTGGAACCCCTCCCCATCTCCCCTGCGCAGAACGAGAAAGAGGAGACCCTCACCACCAGCGTCTGGATTGGAATCGTGAGTCCAATCTGGGGGACAGTGCGAGGTCTGGTCCAGGGCACCCCTTCCTCCCAGACTCTTCGCGGGCACCAGGTGGGAGATGCAGGGCACATGTCCTCCCGTCACCTCCCCCTCCCCCCCCCCTTAGGACTGGGACGATTACCGACTCAACTTCAGCAAGGAGGACTTTGGGGACATCGGAATCCTGCGGGTCCCGTCCAAACACGTATGGCTACCAGAGATTGTGCTGGAAAACAAGTACGGACCGGAGGGAAACCAGGCTGTTGGAAGCCGAGGCCTGAGGGGCTGGGTTGGACCTGGCCGAGGCGGGAGGTTGCTTGGAGGGTGAGGGGTGGCGGACCTCCGCGAACGCCGGGTTTCCGGGGCCCACAGCATCGACGGCCAGTTCGGGGTGGCTTACGACTGCAACGTGCTGGTCTCCGAGGGCGGCCACGTCAGCTGGCTGCCCCCCGCCATCTACCGCAGCGTCTGCGCCGTGGAAGTCTCCTACTTCCCCTTCGACTGGCAGAACTGCTCGCTCGTCTTCCGGTGGGCACAGTTCCTTCAGGCCAGACCATTACGGGATTAGGGGAGCAGGGAGTGACGTCATACGGGGGGGGGACACTAATCGGGGGGCGAGGCTTTGTGCTGGAGGCGGAGCCAGACTCTGGAAAGGGTTGGGGCTGCTCCAGCGAATTTGAAGTTGGGGAGAAAACAACATGATTGGGGTAATGGGGTGGGGCGTTCTCACCCCGCCAGAGCCCAGCTTCCAGGACAGGGCCTGAGGCTAGGGGCTGGGTCCGAGTTGCTGGGGTGGGGGCCCCCTGCCTCCACAGCTCTGAGACGTACAATGCCCAAGAGGTGGAGTTCGTCTTTGTGGTGGGCGATGACGGCGAAACCATCAGCAAGATCGATATCGACACTGAGGCCTACACCGGTGAGGTCCCCTCCTGCTCCTAAAACCCGCTTCCAGACGGGTCCAGAGAAGGGACTTGCAAAGTGGGGCTGCCCCAGACCTTCAAGCCTAGGGACCGACTTTGGCAACCGTGCTTTAATTTGCCCCTTTCCTGAAATTATTCTCGATGGTCGGACCAGTCCTACCTCCTCGCGGTCCTTCCGTACCTCACCCGGAATACCCGCTTCGGCCCTGCCCGAATTGCCCGTCTGCCGAAGGCCCAAGGCCCGAGCCGTCCAGCCCACCTGCCCCACCCTCCCCGGTGCAGACCGCTGCAGACTCTCCTCCGCCCGGAGTTATGGGCTCCCGCCCTCAGGTGTGGGGCCTCAGAGCAGGCTGAGCGCGCCCCCGTCCTGCAGAGAACGGCGAGTGGGCCATCGACTTCTGCCCCGGGGAGATCCACCGCCAGGACGGAGGCTCCGCTGACGGCGCAGGGGGCATTGACATCGTGTACACGCTCATCATTCGCCGGAAGCCGCTCTTCTACATCATTAACATCATTGTGCCCTGCGTGCTCATCTCAGGCCTGGTGCTGCTCGCCTACTTCCTGCCGGCGCAGGGTAAGGAGTCGCCCCTGGGGCTCGTTCCGGGATGTGTGTGTGTGTGTGTGTGCTGGGGTGGGGGGATAGCAGCTCTCACTGTGTGTGTGTGTGCTGGGGTGGGGGGATAGCAGCTCTCACTCTGTGTGTGTGTGTGTGTGTGTGTGTGTGTGCTGGGGGGGGGGGGGATAGCAGCTCTCACTGGGCGCTCCCTCCAGCCGGCGGCCAGAAATGCACCGTCTCCATCAACGTCCTGCTCGCCCAGACCGTCTTCTTGTTCCTGATCGCCCAGAAAATCCCCGAGACGTCGCTGAGCGTGCCGCTGTTGGGCAGGTGAGGGCGCCGGGGCCCGACGGTGCCCGTGCCGCGCGTGGCTAGCGCGAAGGGCGGAGCCAGGCTGGCACGGGGCGGGGCTAAGGGGGTTGGGCCGGAGTGGGCGGGGCCAAACCCAAATAACTCTGGGAGCCGCCTTGGCTGCCTCGTCTCCGCCTGGGCTTTATTTGAACACAGGGTGGGTCTGGGACGCCTGTGGGTTCTCTGGCCCCCCATCCTCCGCACCGCCGCTGGATGCCACCTTGAGGTCTTCTGCGTGTCTCTGTTGCCGGGGGAGGAGGGGAGGCGGGGAGGCGGTTCCGTGTCTCCCCCACCGCGCCACCTCTGGCTCCCAAATCACCTGCCCATCCCGAACTCACCGGTTCCCCGGGGGTTCCGAGATCCAGCTGGCTTCCGCATCGCTGCAGGAATGAGGCGGACCCCGGGAGACCGTGTCCGCACAGGCACAGCCAGGCCCCCTGGAGCAGGAACCGCGTGCTAGCGCCCGCCGCCGCCCCCGCTTGCCGAGTGCCCTGCCCCGCAGCCTGGGCCACCCGGGCCAGCGCGCCACCCGGATCTCCGGCGTCCGGGGCATCTCCGCCGAGTTTCCGCACCTCCTGCTGCAGCCACAGGGCTGAGATCTGCATGGGAGCGGGGGGGGTCCCGGAGTTAGCTGCGGACGCAGAGGTCCCTGTCCCCCGTCTCCGCCCCTCCTCAGCCCCCAGCGCCCTACCTCTAGCAAGGTGGTGCCCAAGTTCACGGCGCTGGCCGCGGCTTCTCTTAGCAGCAGCCCCAGGGTGGGCTTCGGAGCGGGCGGCCCCCCCGACTGAAGCTCTGCGAACCTCTGCTCCAGATAGTCGTGGGCCGCGGCCACAGCGAGCTCCAGCGACGACAGAAGCGGGGGCTGGAGGGCCACCTGGGGAGGGGCAGGGGCAGTGGAGCCGTCGGGTCAGGGGAAGAGGTCGCTGGGGGGTGGGGGGCCTGGAGACCTTCCCCGAGGGTGTCGAGGTGCTACCCTCAGGCCGGGCCCCGGGCGTCGCCTCACCTCCGTGGAACTGTGGAAGTGGTAGACCCACAGCAGGGTTTCCAGGGAGCCGGGGGTCCCCTTCATGGCTGCCACGGGCGGTCGGAGAGGGAGAGCGCCGGGGAGCGCGCGCGGCCCCGCAGCGGAGCGGCTGGGGAGGCCCCACTCCCGGCGGAGAGGAGGGTTTGTGAGGTCAGAGGCCCGGCGCTCCACCTGCGGCTCGGGCCGTGGGGAGGCTGTGAGGTCACGCACCTCGGGCTCCCCAGGTACCTCATCTTCGTCATGGTGGTTGCCACGCTCATTGTAATGAATTGCGTCGTCGTGCTCAACGTGTCTTTGCGGACGCCCACCACTCACGCCACGTCCCCGCGGCTGCGCCACGTAAGCGCGGGGCGGGCGGGTGGGCGGCTGCGGGGCAGGCGGGCGAGCGGGAGGCCTTGGAGCTGAGCGCCGCCCCGCCTCCGCCCCCACCCCTCCCGCCCCCCCCGCCCGTAGGTCTTGCTGGAGCTGCTGCCGCGCCTCCTGGGCTCGGGCGCGCCCCCGGAGGCCCCCGGGGCAGCCTCGCCCCCAAGGCGAGCATCGTCCGTGGGCCTGTTGCTCCGCGCGGAGGAGCTGATACTGAAAAAGCCGCGGAGCGAGCTCGTGTTTGAGGGGCAGAGGTACCGGCACGGCACCTGGACGGGTGAGCAGCGTGGCCGGGTGGGCCAACGGGGGCGCCTGAAGCGGGGGAGGCCTTCATAACCCACCGGGGTGCGCCCACCTCCCGGCAGCTGCCCTCTACCAGAGCCTGGGCGCCGCCGCCCCCGAGATCCGCTGCTGTGTGGACGCCGTGAACTTCATGGCCGAGAGCACGCGAGGCCAGGAGGCCAGCGGCGAGGTGGGGCCGGAGCCAGGGGCGGGCGGGGCGCTGCCGAGGCCTCCCCACCAGCTATTGTGCTGCAGGGACTCAGCTCGCGCCTGCCCCTTCCTAGGAGGTGTCCGACTGGGTGCGCATGGGGAAGGCCCTGGACAACATCTGCTTCTGGGCGGCGCTGGTGCTCTTCAGTGTGGGCTCCAGCCTCATCTTCCTGGGGGGCTACTTAAACCAAGTGCCCGACCTGCCCTACCCGCCGTGCATGTAGACCTGCGCTGGTGGCCGCCTGATTTCAGCTTTCCTATCCGTCTCCAGGAGGAAACAGATTTTGAAAAACAAGTTGCTACCACTGCTATATTATGATCCTTTACCACCACGGATAATAAATCAGTATTTTGTAAACACGTGTTGCCTGTGCACAAGTGTGTACGTCTGGTCACTGCGCAGGGATTAGAAAGAGGAAAGACTTTTTAAAAACTTTATTGATTTTGAAGAGGAAGGGAGAGATACAAGTATCAATAAGAGAGAATCATTGATTGGCTGCCTCCTGCATGCATGCCCCACACTGGGTATCGAGCCCATAACCTGGCACGTGCCCTGACCGGAACTGAACCGTGACCTCCTGGTTCACAGGTCCCTGCCCACCACTGAGTCAGTCAAGATGGTTGTTCAAGCAGCTCCTGAATGCCAGTCCTCTGGGAAGCAAAGACCACCCTAGACCTAGCCTTGCTGATCTTCCAGTTTTGCTCAGGCTCCAGCCGCGTAGGACCTTCTAGCCCTGTGAGCTTCTAAGCTGGCAGCTATTCGATGGCCACACAGGAGAGACACGGTTGCTGGGACCAAATGCCCTCAGGGCAGGCCCCCACAGGCCCAGAGAATAAGGCTGAGGATGCCCTGGCCCTCCCTCCGTCATTTCTTCTACGTTTTCTTGGTCAAGTACTGCCCACCTACTTGAATCCCCAAGACTCATTGTAGATTCCACCCCACCCTACCCCCTTCGTCTTAACTCTGCTTGCTTGCCCTGGCGAGTAGCTGGACTGTGAGAGAAAACAGAATAAAAAGGGGTCTGAAGTGGTGGGAGCTGGTTGAATAGTCTTTATTAACAAACGGGATATCCAAGGCCACTACATTGAGGAGGGGTAGGGACAGGGAGGGAACAGGGCTACTTGCTGCTCACACTATATACAGATGCAAGCAAGGGGGTGTGGAGGCCAGAGCTCCATGCTCCCTCCCTCCACCAGGAAAGGACAGAGGCTAGAAGAGATGAGGGCTGGAAAGGGAGAAATGTTTTGGCTGGCGGGGTCCCCCTTCCATTCCCTGGGGTTTGGGAGGAGGGGAATCATTAAAGTGCTTTCAGAAAATGAGGAAATGGTCCCTGCCCCTGGAGTGGCTGGTGACCCCCCTAAAACCTAGGGCCCAGTGACACCCCCCCAGGGTCTGGTACATTCAAGGGGGGAGCCGGCTCCCCTGACGTGCAAATAAAGGGGCCCAGGGCCCTGCCCAGTCAGCAGCAGTGGGGTACGGGGTCCAAGCCCCAAGCACTCTCCTCTCAAGTGGAGAAAGGGGGTGGGGCTAAGCCCACTCGATTCCTGTGAAGGGGAAGCTGTGCCTCTCTCCAGAAGATGGGACAGGCACAGTTTTGGGGAAGAGAACATGTTGGGGAAGAAGGTGGTCATGTGATCACAAAAGCATCAAGGGTCAGAGGTCACGTTCCCAGCAGGCTCCAGTGAATCAAACCAGTAAAAGCAAAAGCCCAAGGAGGGGGAAGCAGGGCGGCCTGGGAAGTCTGGCTGTGGGGGCAGAGCTGGGTCCCCGGGGAGAGCTCCAGCCCAGGGCCTGTCACCAGTTCATGATGCAGTTGCGGTTCAGAGTCATGAAGTAAACTTGGCTGCTGCCCCCAGAGCGGACGGAGGCAAAGAATACCTGGGGGGAGGGGGGTAGAGAAGAAGTCACCAAGGGGTTGGGGGAGGGGGTTCCATTAATTGGGAGAGAGAGACACTGCAGTTTAGTCTCAGAATAACCCCACCCGCCCCGACCAGTGGTGCAGTGGTTAGAGCAACGGCCCACGCAACAAAGGGTCGCAGGTCCGACTCCTGGTCAAGGGCACATACCTGGGTTGCAGGTTCAATCTTCCACATGCAGGAGGCAACCAGTTGATGTGTCTCTCTCTCCACATGCCCCCCCCCCCCTCTCTAAAAATCAACGGGGAAAAAAAATCCCTGGGTGAGGATTACCCAAAAAAAGGGAAGAACTACCCCTATCGCCCTGAAGAGCAGAAGTGCTTGGGGAAGAGGGCAGCTGGCAGACCTTTAGGGTGAAAGAAACTGGGGGGGGGGGGGGGGGCGGAGGCGGGGGGTGGATAGAGAGAAGGGAAAGGGCAGACTGTGACTGAGTGTGTTCCCCAAGGGGCCCCTTTCAGGAAGACTCCACAATGGTCACCTCCTTGGTAGGAACCTAAGGTTTTGGAAGCCAGACCAATGCAGGCCCCAGCCCTTTCCAGGGGCAAGGGGCGCCCACCTTGTCATTCCGCTCACACAGGAACTTGAGCCTCTGAGCTCGTTTGTGCATGAAGACCCCGTCCAGGTGGCCTGTCTCCACGGAGCGGATCTCGATGGCTTTCTCGCCCCAGCCCATTATCTGGTTGGAGCAGATGTAGGCTGGAGGAGAAAGAGGGGAGGGGCAGTGAGTGGACTGCAGCCCAGGCCCACTCTAGGGCCAGCTCGGGGACCCGCAGCTCGGGGACAAGCACCACTCACCCACGGAAGTGGGCATCTCTCCCCACTGCAGCACCACATCCTTAATGATCCGCCCGTACGTGTTGACGTAGACGCCCTCGTCCTCGTAGCACAGCAGCATCTCCATGCCATCGGTGTTGGGGAGGAAGATGATGGCGTGGGGTGTGATCTGGCTCTGGATCTGGGAGGAGGAGGGCTGGAGTCCCTGAGTCTGGAGCCCAGACTGGCGGCCCCCCTCTGCCCAGAGTCCAGCTGAGCTTACATGAACAGGGATGTAGATGTCGTAGCTGTTCCCCGAGTCGACATCCACTGCATGGAAGCCAGCACTGGAGCCGTAGATGACTTTGAGCCGCTGTCCCTCCTCTACCGTCAGGTCCACCAGCAGGGGGCGGTGAGGCAGGTCAGCAAAGGACTGTGGAGGAAAGAAGGGATCAGGGGACACAGGTGGAGGAGTCAGACCTTGGAGCAGTGTTGGGGGGCTGAGGCGGGGATTACCTTGAAGGCCATGAATTTGTGGTAGGGTTTGGGGGCCCAGGCATACACCTCTACGGAATTCTTCAGGGCGATGACCAGGAACTTAATACGTTCGTATTTCACTGGGGGCAGGAAAGAAGAGGGATGCTGGGACTTCCCTTGGACTGCGGGGCCCCTCCCACAGGTCTGTCCTATACCCCCAAGCCAGGCCCCACGTCTCTGGCTTCATGACCATTAAGCCCAAACCCTCATTTCTTCTCGTAAACAAATGTGCTCTGGCCACTCTGCTGTGACCTCCTCACCCACGCGGTAGTGCCCGCAGCCCTCCATGTCCCCCACGGTGGTCCAGCCCTGCTTCTTCTCCACTTCTGGGTCGTTGTGCAGAATCTTGTTCCGGAGCCAGGACAGGTAGTACACGCGCAGTTTGTTCCTTTTCCCTGAGGGGCGAGGACACACACACACTCCCTTCGTTGGAGATCCAGATTCGGCCTCCCGCCATCCTTTTCTGCGTACCACAAGGGGTGAGAAAGTGGCCCCACCTTCCGGCTCCTGGACCAAGGGTGCCCTCTGCCCCGGCTGAAGATGGTGACAGAGAGCCAAGGAGCTGAGCCCCCTCCTCCAGGCCCTGTCCCCGCCCCCGTCCTCCACACACACACCTGAGATGGTGATGAGCAAGTTGAGTCCTTCCAGCACATCCATTTGCTGGAAGCGCCGCCGCCCAATGAGTCCATACACCTTGCCCTGCCCACTTCGGTCCAGCAACATCAGCCCGTTTTCCGTGCCCACCAGCAGGTTGACGCCTGCAACGGGAGCCCTTGGGCAGATCAGAGGCAGAGCCAGGCCCTCACCCGACCAGGGGCAGAGGGGCACACGGATCCCTCTTTTCCTTCCCAGCCCTGGCTTACCCCAAAGGGCCGCGCAGAGGATCTCGGAATTGAACCGCTTCTTGTACTTGCGAATCTCGGGGGTTTCACTGTGGGCCCGTGTGTTGGTGGGGTTCACGTTGACCACAGAGCCTTTCCGCACGTCATACTGCAGCTGATCAAGCCGACTGGCCTCTCCACCCACTAGGGCTGCGGGGGGAGAGAAGTGGGGGTGGGCTGCTGTCCCCTTACCCCGTCTCTTCTTACTCTACCTTTACACTCAGTCCCGGCTCCTCTGAATACTCAGAAGGAAAGAGAAAGACCGGAGACTGGAGGAGGTGCATGAAGGAGTTGGAACAGCCAAAGGCCTGGCAAAGTGCTCCTTCCGTCCCGTAGGGCCCTGTGCTGCTGAGCATCGTCCCTCTCGGGGAGAGAGGTCAGGAGCTCTGGTTGCCTCTGTGCCAGGGCAGGTGCGCAGGTGAGGGGAGGCCGTGAGCACCTGCTTTGTGAACCGCCTCGCCGGGGCTTCACCTTTGCCCTCTCCAGGCCTCATGGCAGCTCCGTCCTCCCATCCTCACCTGTGATAGGGATGGTGTCCCCACTGCCTCCGGACTGGTAGATGCCAAGGTCCACAAACATCGTGAACGAGCTCTTGCCAGGGGCCTTCACCAGCCCACGAGACTGGTACTGTGGGGGCAGGAGTGGGAGTCAGGCAAACATGTGAGACCCTGGCCTGTGCCCCCCCTTCTATTGTTCTAGGCCCCATGTGCCCCCAGGGGAACCCTGGCCCAGGTGCTCTGCCCGCCCAGCACAGTAACCCCCAACACCCCCTGATCTGCCCACTGCCAGTGCCCTCCCCTCGTCCCATGGACCAGCCTGCACCCACTTACATCACTGCCTCCATCCTTCACGGGGGGGCTTTGACCTTTGCTGCTTTCAGTGGGCGAGTGGCTGGGCTGGACCACGTCTGGCAGGTTAGTGTAACCGTTGCTGTCGGCATGCAGCAGGCTTCGCTCCTCTTCAGGTGTCTAAAGGAACAGAGGGAAGGGGGCCAGTGCTAGGGCCAAGGAGGGTCACAGCAGGTGCTGGGAAGAATGGGGTGCCTACTCACACGCTGGACCACCATGGTGCCACCCCCATAGGGGGTCTGGGTCCCGGCGATCTCCTCCACATCATGGACCACCATGGTGCTGACACTGTCTGTATCCCCATCGCTGCTATGGGAGAGGGAGGTCATGAGGGCCTCCAGGTCCTGCCTGCCACCCAAGTACCATGGCAGCAGGCGAGAGCAGGCCTAGCGCTTTCAGCTTCAGATTCTATTCAAAACACAATGCACTCAGCCCCCACTGAGCAACCTTGTCCTGCTGTTGGGTGTCCTGGGCCCCGCACTTGGGTTGGGGCAGGCTGGTGGCAGAGACACCTGAAGAGACCACCGCCACTCCCACTGACAGCACAGCGGGAGAGAGAGGAACACGTCTCACACCCCGTTCTCCAGAGAAAGGAAGGAATCACTCACCGCCGTGACACCAGGTTCCCACAGATGTGCCCGAGGCCCCCCTCCCTCCAACCTACAGCCCTTCTCTGGGTGCCTCCGATATGGGCGTGCCACCCCCCCCAGGGAGCCCCATACCGGGCCCCAGGGGTGTCTCTGCTCCCTTCTGATGGTTCGCCATTGCTTTCCTCCTCGTCGTCCTCACTGCTCTCCACCTCTTCACTGGACGATGAGTAGTCCATGGCCTTCTTGGGAGGCCGTGGGGCCTCATCCAGGGTCCGCTCTTTCAGCAACACAAAATCCTGCAAGGGAGGAGCTGTGTGAGGGGGGTGGGGGAGGAGGGCGGTGGTAAAGGATGTCCAAGGAGAAGGGGCAGGGTCACAGGAGGGCTCCCGCAAGCAGGCCCCTTCTCACTAACCTCACCAATGGCTCGCTTATAGCTCTGGGAGGGGCCACAGGGGAAGGGCAGCCAGGAAGAGGCAGGAGAGAGGTTAAGAAAGGTTAGTAACT